TTCTTAGCTGTATCAGTAACCAATCATCTTTATTAGTTTAATATTTTTCTCATACCTTGAAGGCAACTTCCTGTTGCTCCAAGGAGTAAGGTACATAATTCTCAGATAAGAGATGGAACATATTATAGGCATGATGCGACATTAGTGGTTTCTCTGATGTTTAAAATATTTTTGGCAAGATATTCAGAGAGATTATCTTGTGCCGTGAAGTTTGAGTTAAAAAGCCTTTCAGGTAAAGATGGTCAGGTTGACATAGATATCATTCTGCAATGATGTTATGGCGTAAGCCCGAATAAGATTTATAATGACATAGTGTCTCAATGTAAGATGATTATATGAAGGATTCTTAATGGTTTGATGCTAGTCAATTAAGTAGGAGATTGCAGATGACTGAAAATACATGGATCAAGTGAAAGCTCCATCTGGGACAAGAATTGATGCATTCTCCCTTCATACAAAATTTGATTTTGGAGGAAAACTAGGATGAATTTTTTTTCGAACTTCAGAAAAGTCTGAACTATGGGAAATATGTAAAAATCCTTACTAGGGAAATATGCATATAATATACCTACATATGCACGACATAAGAAATTCAGACCTTACTTTCCTTGGTTGACTGATCCTACTTTGATTAACCCCTACAATACTTTTAAGCTGAAGAATCCAGAATTTCCCAGAATGAGACTCCTATTAGTATTTCCATCTAAAGAAGTGACAAGAGAGTTACAGGGGAACATACACAACTTCTCTTAGTTCAATATGCTAATCAACTATTAGTAAAAGTTACACCATTTGCTTATGTAAGATGATAAATAAGAATTCTCTCGCTTTGTTTACTGTTGTGATGGTGTACTTAAGAATTCGTTGTTCATAGCTTTTGCACATTATGTCATTACATGTACGCACTTCTCTTGAAGCATACATAGAGAAGCGAAGAGCTGGTTATGTGTTACTTATACTTCATTATGGACTGTAAATCTTAAAAGTTTGGCAGGATAATGTATTTGTCTAATTATAATTTTATGAACAGTTACCTAGCTTCTTAATTTAGATGAAATGATAGACCAAAAAAAAGAACCCCAAGTATACATGTTATACTTATTGTTTCTTGGGGTTTGAGGGGTAAAAGTTAGTCTCTGTTTGATGCAGTTTATGCCACATTTTACTGTTCTTTACTTAAGAATCCTAAACTGTTACTGATGAATGATAAAAAGCTAATTGTGAGTGCTGATCATATGATTACATTCTAGGGTTGTAGGGTTTCTAATAGGTTGTTTTACTTATCAATACCTCCAAATATATTCGTGGATGTGGTGCGATGTGCAAGTCTTAAAGCTTCTTCAACAAGTGGGTGGACAAGGGTCATTGTTGAGAAACCATTTGGTCGTGATTTAGAATCATCTAGTGAGTTGACCAGATCCCTAAAGAAGTACCTAACTGAGGAGCAAATTTTCCGGTTAGATTAACTGCATTTCTTTGCCAGTTACCTTGTGGATATAACATGGGTTGAAGTTTTCTTATGCTAGTTTTTTTTTTTCTTCTCAGAATTGACCATTACTTGGGAAAGGAACTTGTTGAGAATCTCTCAGTTCTTCGGTTCTCGAATCTTGTCTTTGAGCCTCTTTGGTCCAGAGACTACATCCGCAATGTCCAATTTATATTTTCCGAAGATTTTGGTACTGAGGGACGAGGAGGGTGAGGCTCATTACTCTGCCGCTGATACTTAAAAAGTAGTATTCTGTTGGAGTTGGATCTCAAACTTGCTGCTCTTTTGTCTCAGGTACTTTGACCACTACGGCATCATCCGTGATATTATGCAAAATCATCTCCTTCAAATATTAGCATTGTTTGCTATGGAAACACCTGTCAGCTTGGATGCTGAGGACATCAGAAATGAGAAGGTATGCACATTTATGCCACAAATTTTTCATATAAATCCTGCATTACTTAAATCCTCCAAGACAATATGATTAAAAATAGAGAAAATATACTAAAACATGGTCCATAATTCGAGTCTGTCTATGTGATTCAGGTTAAAGTTTTAAGGTCAATGAGGCCATTGCAACTTGAAGATGTTGTTCTTGGACAGTATAAGGGTCATAGCAAGGGTGCTAAATCATATCCAGCTTACACAGATGATCCAACTGTGCCAAATGGCAGTATCACTCCAACATTTTCTGCTGCTGCACTCTTCATTGATAATGCACGTTGGGACGGGGTTCCTTTCCTCATGAAAGCAGGAAAAGCTCTCCATACAAAGAGGTTGGTGGATTGTCGTTTTCTCCATAATGATATTTTCAGGTATATATCCTGATTGCCATAAAATGATTGGAGATTTTGTTATACTAAAACTGCAGGGCAGAGATCAGGGTCCAGTTCAGACATGTTCCCGGAAATTTGTACAAAAGGAACTTTGGAACTGACATGGATAAAGCAACCAATGAGCTAGTTCTGCGCCTACAACCTGATGAAGCCATATATCTGAAAATTAACAACAAGGTTCCTGGTCTTGGGATGAGACTTGACCGGAGTGACCTTAATCTTCTTTATAAAGCAAAGTAAGAGACTCCTGCTGAACTAGTGTTAGTAACAGCTTATGGGTGTGTTCGGTAATGGATTTTTTCATGTTTGGTTTCAAAACATTTTCTCTAGAAAACAAGGTCCTTAAAAATAAGGAAAATGACTTCCCTAATAGAAGTAGAGAAAACAAGTTCCATAAATGATATTCCAAGTTCATTGTCTCCTTTCCAAGATCCTAACTCCCACCCCTTGATCATCCCACCCTGCGCCACTCCTGAACCCAACTTCCCACCACTGTTTTGCTAGATTTTATATAAATGTTTTTGGTATAGTGTTTTCTTGCGTACTTAACTAAGCCCTAGAAAATAAGTGAGAAACCAACTTTTTTTCCCAAGAAAACGTTTTCCTTCGTACCGAATACACCCTATGACAGCAAAAGTTTTCTTGTAGTTCACCATTGCCCTTGTTTGTTCTACGACTAGGATGCTTTCAGGAATGGATGACATACATCTGGTGTAGCACCACAAATATAATTTTCACCGCATTATCTGATATAGAGCCAGAGGAATATTATTAATAACATGTTTCTCGCTGTTCTTTCACTGGGATATTTAAGAACTATGAAGCTGACACTTCTCCTTATGTAAATTAGAAAGCATGGACAGTGGACATTATTAGTTTATAGAAGAATTGCCAGGATTAAGAATTTAATCAACCTCGCTTACTAACGTTATGTATGATGGATGACTTATCTGACTGACTAATTTATGATTAACACGATCATGATAAACATTTACATTGACTTCAATGGGTCGTTTTTTGTGAAGGTATCGAGGTGAAATACCAGATGCATATGAGCGGCTTTTGTTAGATGCAATAGAAGGAGAGCGAAGATTGTTCATAAGAAGCGATGAACTTGATGCTGCATGGGCTCTATTTACACCGTTGCTGAAGGAGCTGGAAGAGAAGAAGATTGCACCAGAGCTTTATCCATACGGAAGTAGGGGGCCAGTGGGAGCACATTATCTAGCTGCAAAGCACAACGTTCGTTGGGGAGATCTATCTGGTGATGATTGATTGTATGTGAGATCTTCTTGAGGAGTACTATGAAATGGAGGAAATCTCTAATTTCCTCACAAAGGGGGACAATTGATATTCATTTAGTTTTATAGGAATTGATCTACTTGCTGTTTCAGCTCATCAAGAATGCAAAAATTATGGACAACTTGGAACTGTTGTCAGCAATTGTTGTATAGCTAGCTTGTCTATTTTGTTAAGAAAATTCTCATGTTTTATGCTTCTTGTTGTGTTACATCCTGGGCGATATTTTGCTAATGACTAATAATATACCCTACTCTTCAATTTTACTTCTTACTTCGTTTGATTTGTTTATCTTGCTATATTTTTCTTGTTTGTCTTGCTTTTATTACACTTCGATCTTTTGAGCTGAGGGGCTCTGGAAACCTCTACGTACCCCACAAAGGTAGGGGTAAAGTTAGTGTACATCTTACTCTCTTCAGATTCCAGCCACTTGTGGGATTACATTAGTTATGTTATTGTTGTATTCTGATTGTTTTTCTATTTTCATTATTTTTTATTTTTTGGCAGAAGAAGAAGCTTATAAGTTATTAGGGTAACATAAAAAGTACTCTTAAGCACTTATTTTTAAGTTTAAAAGACAAAAATAAGTCAACAATTCTAACTTATACATTGAAAACTATAAGCCCATCTAAACAAACTCTTAATTGGTATAACATGGTAGTATAAGATAATTACATTTTGCAAACTCACTAATTTAACTCTTATTTGGGCCAGACAAATGCAAATGCCTGGGGTACAGTGATTTTTGCACGGGCTGTTTGTAGCATAGGTATAATTATCATTTTTAATTGACATTCAACATATTAATTATATACTACTCATGACTCCACTTCACTTTGTTTTCATAGTTGTACTTCACATAGAAAAAAAAATATTTAGAAACCTATGATCTTAAATATGTCAAAATATTTATTCGTCTATATAACTTTTGAAACTTATAGTTTTAAGACCAGAGAGAGTTGCACGAATGGTAAGCACCCCTTATTTCCAATCTGAAGGTTGCGAGGTCGAATCACCAAGGGAACAAAAGGGGTGGGAGCTCCTAGGAAGGGTAAAAAAAATAATTATAGTTTTAATAACATATCATAACATGCATTTGTGTGAGTGCAATAAAAGTTTCTCATGAAGAACGTGATATTTTTCTTTCGAATACAATGATACAATTAATCTATAATAATTTTGATAAGCTAAAACATGAACATGACATAAATGGCCAAAAAACAAAGAGGAAACAAGTCCTACATATCATTGTTTAATTCCTACATAAAAAGACAAGTCCTTAATTAAACCCTAATTAGCCTTGTTTAATTGTTTTCTACTATACCAATTAGGAAACTCCAATGTCCTAATTAATATTAATTAATCCCCATATTAATTAATTATTGAGCCCCAAAATCCCACAAATGAATTGTACCATCACTAGAACAAGCAACTATATGCCTTTCATTTGCATGCATGGCATTTACTTCCCCTATTCTTTCCCTTAAACTATAAAGATACACTCCATTTTCTACTTCCCAAACCCTAATAACCTCTCCCACACACATTACACCATATCCACTACTATTCATGCTTCCAACCACCCCCCGTCGCGACGCGCCTCGCACGTTAAACCTACACGATTCATCCAAATCCTCAGTCCGACGGACGGTGGCAACACCCCGTCCGTCCACCGCCACGAGCAACTCGCTCGTGGCTTCGAAAGATCCTACAATGAGCTCTTGTTGGAAGGATCTTTCTTGGAGGATCAACCCTTGGTTATGTAAGTCTATAACAACAAGTCGTGGGCCGGTACATGCCACAGCAGTGTCACGGGCTGTGACATGGACCCGGCCCACGAGGTCGGTTAACTCGGTTAGGAGGTGCCAACCGGTTACTGCCTCAGGATCGGTTAAATCGCCTTCGGCGAAGATTAGTTGCTCCGTTTCACTATTCCATACGTGAAATGCCCGACCCGGTACACCTGAAATATTTGTCCAAAGAAAAGGAGACATTTTAATTTAGTAAACATAATAAAAATTGGATCACGCTACAAATTATCGTAATTTATGAAAATCCTAATTGATTTTAGCAATTATCATCATGGTAGAGTAATGATGAGAAATTAATATTGGTAATTATTCTTTATAGTAATTCAGCCCAATTAATTTAACGTTAGACGCTGACTAAATTACATTCAAAAAGTTAATAAACTTCAAAGTTCTGCTTTGATGGATGGGAAAATGGTCATATTTTACTTTCTACTCTTAGAAAATTGTTATATTTATCTTCGTTATATTTGCTCCTATCATCCAACGTTGAGTTCATATTTACCTTTCAAACTATTAATTAAGTTCCATATAACCCCATATATTATTCTACGTAACTCCTACGTGACACCTACATAGATATTAATTTTCTTTAATTTAATTTTTTTACTCATCCCTAGACCCCAATACTATAAAAGCCGGGTTGAGAAAGCTTATTTTCTAAGAGTACAAACACAAATCTCCTATAAATAGAAGTTATTTTACTCTAAAAACTACTCCTCCACCCATTTTTAGTTATTTACTGTACATCTATTTTCACTTGTTCTTTAAAAATTATAGATAATTTATCATTTTTATTCAAGGCCCACAATATATTATACTTCGTCCCAATTTATATGATCTACTTTTCTTTTAGTCAATCTCAAATAAATAATATATTTCTATATTTAGTAACAATTCAACTTTACAATACTCATTTTATCCCTAATGAAATTATAGTCATACAAACATATATCGCCTATTTTAGAATACAAATATTAAAAGTGTTTTTTCTTCCTTAAACTCCATGTGAAGTCAAACTAGATAGCGTGGAGGGATTAGTAAAAACTAAAATACTTTTGTTGTTTTGTTTTTTCCTAAAAAGAAAACATTGGTCAAGGAAAAATTAAGCCTCCTTTAAGAAATCTTCCCGTCCAATCTCAAAAGCAAATTATTATGTTACACTTTTAGCATCATAATAACCGACATTCTTTCATAATTAGTTAGTTGGTCAATATATTTGACTTGTTTATCTCTAACGACTCCATTTTAAATATTTTTTAATATATAATCAATTAACCTTTCTAATTTGAATACATACAAAAATCAACTGTTAGCAACTGACGTATATTTCATTATTAGTCCAATTTATTAAATTTTATGTCAAATTAAATTACGATAAAAAAATAAAATAGTAAGGCAAGTTATGAATAAAATCACCTGCATAAAGGCCGACCCACCACCGGTCACGACCGGTGAAATCCACCAAAGCGCCGTCATTCACCACATCTCCTAAATGTGCACGGCGGGGCGGATCAGCATCCACCCCGCCGATCACCACCACATGTATATCACCATCCAATGACGCAAACACAAGTTTCTCATCCGACAAAATAATTCCCGAAATAGCCCTAGAATACCGGCCAAGCCGGTCACGTTGTTGCGGATGATACGTAGACAAATGAGCCCTAGATGGTAGATGAAACAATTGAACCGATCCATCGGAGAATCCGGCAGCTAAATGGCGATCGGATAACGCGATACGCCGACAAGAGAGACCATCGTTGTTATCGTCGTTGTTGTTTGCTGGTACAAAATGGAGAGTACGGTATACGTATCTACAGTGACGGAAATTATTGGAAGTACGGTGCCAATATACGTATTCGTCGTGCCATGTTGGACGGAGAAGATGGCGGCGGTTCCATATACGGTTGCTCAAGTTTTGCCATAGAAGATCGGACCGGGACACTGCTCTCCATGTTGAACAAACCTGGAAAATATTGTTGTACCAAAATTAGAATACGTTATGAAATAATACGTAATGTAACAATATTTTATGATACGTTACTAAAAAAAGTCAGACAACTTTTGAAGTTTATGATGTTTAAACTTGTATAAACTACTCCCTCTATTTCGAATTTCAAGATTCAAACAATTCTATCTTTGGCGATAATTTTTTATATATCTTTTAAATATTTTTGAATTGTTAATTATTGTAACTTACAATACTTTTTACGTAGTTTACAAATATATAAAATTTAATTCAAAAAGTTGAAGATTTCATGCGCAAACTCCCATGTCAAACTTAAAATGTTTGAATTTTGAAAAACAAAATGTATCATATAAATTGGGACAGAGGAATATTTTTGTTACAATTTTAAAAAGTACGTACGAATACGATACATAAATTAAAACATAATGCAAAGTATTTCATGGCTTCTCTTTACCATATTTTGTTTCATTTCATACATAAACTAATACATAGTGAAACATATATACCTAAGCAATAAACAAAATATTAGTTTTATTATATCATTCAAGTAAATAGTACTTTCTAATGAACGTAGAATAGGCATAAAATAATAAATTGTCTTTTTATTTTCTAAGTTGGATAAATAAAATTAAATATCTGTATTTAATATAGTGAACAAGTAAATATGGAAGGAGAGATTACATACTACTCCCTCTGTCCCAATTTATGTGACACATTTTGGATTTCAAGATTCAAACAAGTCTATCTTTGACTGTAAATTTTTAATATATCTTTTAGATATTTTGAATTATCAATTATTGTGATTTATAGTACCTTTTATGTAGTTTACAAATTTATAAATTTTATTTTAAAAAATTTGAAGATTCCATGAGCAAATTCTCTGTCAAACTTAAATCGTTTGACTCTCGAAAAGCGAAATGTGTCACATAAATTGGGACAGAGGGAGTAATTAATTGGCACTTGTCACCTATAACAAAGCTACTATAGATCAATATCAGCTATATATTGCACCTACACCAACACAGTGAGAAGTCTAAAAAGTGTAGCTAATGGCATGTCCATCTCAAATTATTAAAAAGAATTCAACCAAAATTGTTTTCAAAATCCAAGCGTTTTCAAGCAGAGAGGCATGCATGCATGCAGGGTCACAGCTAGAAAAAGACATGATGCTAATTCATGTTGAGATAAATTATGTATTAAGTTAAGATAAGGTTAATATTTGTGGAAGTAATGGCATAGTCAGAATTTTAGATGGCTAATATCACTGTTTGAAGAAGTGAAACTAGAGGAGAATTTCATATATTTGTAGTTTATAAGTTTAAAATGTCAATAAATTCACTACTCAAATTAAATATCGTACACTTTTGGCTCAAATTATATGATACATTTTTTAGTCAGTTTTAAAAAGAATGATTTATTTATATATCTAATAGTAATAATTTAAATTCAAATTGTTGAATATACTTTAGTGAAAACATTTAATATATAGTCACATAAATGACATAATACATAAATGTGCCTTTTAATTTGGTCTCGTTTTACATTTATGCCCTCAAACTTTTAGTGTACACAAGTAAACATTTAAAATTTGAAAATGTTGAACAAGTAGACACATGAATCTTATGTAGCACAATACACGAAAGGCATAAATTATCATGTAAGATTCTACGTAGGACGTGTGTGTCTATTTGTTTAACTTCGTATAAATTTAAGTGTACTTGTGCACATCTAAAATTGAAAAACATAAATATAAAATAAAGCTAAGTTAAAAGGCATATTTATGTACTATACTCACACAAATATGTATAACTTATTCTAAATCACAATTTTAAAAGTTTATCTTTATTAAACTCTAGATAAAATTTAACTACATATAATGTAAATTAAAACGAAACATATTAGCTTAGAAGAAGGTTAGGGAAAGTACAAAACAGCCCCTCATGGCAGGCACGCCCCAACACATGGGAAACGATATATTCCTTCACGTGATATGCCCATAACATGTGTGTAATCAAAACAATATTATTTCGTTTATTTTAAAAAGAATGACCTAGTTCGACTTGACACGAAGTTTTAAAAAGTAAATAGATTTTTTCAATCTTCTCATTCTAAATTAAAATTATGTCAAGTGTATTAAAATATTCTTTAATCTTGTTATTTTAAACATGCAACGTGAAAAATTGAAATTAAAATATTTTGTAAAAAAAAAAAAAAAGATCATATTTTTAAAATGGAGCGAGTAATTAAAACTTATAAGAAGTCTAATTTACAGTTAGTTATTTTGTAGTAATATTGAACTGTCATTCCTTTTAATTGGAAGAAAAGGAATTATAAAAAATGAGTGCTATTTGAAGAAAAGGTATCTTGTAAGAAGAAAAATAGTTGTAAACTTATTGCATGATTAGAATAAAAGGAAAGGCATGCAGTGATAGTCAGAAGATAAAAAAAGAGTAGGAAAATAGTAGGCTATTTATTACTAGTAATTAGGTACTCATCATACCTAGCTACTATCAATATCAAGGTGAAAGAAACCAAGAAGATAACAACTTCATCACATCTCATGTCAGTGATAAATATTGTGAAATTAAATACTTTCTCTATTTCAATTTATATGAGTTAATTAGTTTGATTTAATACAAAGCTTCATAAAGAAAAAAGATTTTTAAGATTTTTGATTTAAAATAAGTTATAAATATTTGTTTTACTATAAATAATTTCATTAAGTTGTGAGTTTAACTCATACCTCAAAAGTTAGCTCAAAGGAAAAAAGATTGTTCAAGTTTTATCATCTCACTAACCATCAATGTAAGAATTTTCATCATTCTTTCAACATCCTGCCTCACGCCTAATGTGTAGCATTTAGATGGTGTTTGGATTGACTTAAAAGTTGGTCAAATCTACTTTTAAATCAGTTTTTTACTTTTAAAAGTGTTTGATAAATATAAAAAATAATTTAAAATAAGTTAGAAAGTGATTGATAAGGTAAAAAATGGCTTAAAATAAATCAAAAACCAAAATTAGGTATCCATTACTTTTTATTTTTCGACTTAAAAGTCATTTCAGTTTGACTTTTTATTTTCGACTTAAAAGCTACCTTTTTAAGTCTGTCCAAACGGGCACTTAGTGCGTGGATAATTTTAAGTTCGAGAGCTCAATATTGAGTGAGATGAATCATGCTTTATTACCATGTAAAATTAGATTTTTGCGATGTAAAATTAGAATTTGCGACTAACTCACTCTAACTAGCTCTAAGGAAGGAAAAATGTCTGAATCATACAAGGAATTCAGTAATCTCATTAACCATCAATACAAAAGTTTTTGTATTTTTCAACAAAAAAACACAGTTTTTGAAGTTTTCTGAATTTCAAACTTCTGACAATTTTATGTCTAAATAATTTTTGAAATACTAATACTACAAAAAAAATAAAAAAAATAAAATAAAAAATATATATATATATATATTCATGATAAGATGAATAGACACATCTCCTTTTTTTCTCTTTCATTTCCAAGAAAAGGTTACTGTCTCTCCACACTCCTTCAGCTTTTTGAATACACTCAACTCCCATCACTGGCAATTCAAAATTTTAAATTTATTAATTTTTAGTAATATTTACTTAATATATTTTAAAAACAAGTAAGAAACTTAAACAAAAATTATTGAGTTCTATCGATCATGGAACTTCAATGATAGATTTATCCTTACTTGAATTTAGTTAAAGTCTCTTTACTCTTGATTAAAAATTAAGAATTCTAAGAATAGAACTATAACTACAGATAAGCTTTTGATAAAGAAAGTTAATATATATGTTTAATTATCAATTTATCTTTTACAAATTGAAATTAATCAGGCCTATAATATGAAATTGTCAGAGAAAAGTAATTGTACTATTTTGACAAGGAGAAAGAAGATCATGTTTCTTGTTAAAGAAAGAGGATATATTTATTATTATTAATAAGAAATTTGTGTTATAAAATATATATTCTATTTGAAACATACATACTTATTGAAATATTGAAAAGCTTTCTAATATTTCGTATGAAAATATTATTATTATTATTATTTCTAAGAAATTTCAATAAAAATAGTGTAGTATTTTTTAATAGCGAAAAGGATATTATAAGATATACAAGTATTTATTCTAGTATTATTGTTATAATTATTACTTCCTCCGTTTCATTTTATGTGAAGTACTTTGATTCGACACGGAATTTAAGAAAGTAGAAAAGACTTTTAAAACTTGTGGTCCAAAATGAATGATAGAAATTTGTATAGCTGTAAATAATTTCATTAAGGTTAAAATAGACATTTTATAGTTAAATTATTACTTAATATAGAAATGTGTCATTCTTTTTGGGACTGACTAATTAAGACAGAGAGAGTATCATATATGGATAAGGTTGGAGGAAGAGGGGGCAGAAATTGACAACTGGAAAGACTTATTTTACACATGACACAAGGAATGCGCAAGACATGCTTGCCTTTTTTAATAAATTAATTTCACTTAATATATAGTCGGAATAAATATAGATACACATAAAGTTAACATGATTCTTTACATGTATATTTCAATTAAGTCGTGTACCTATTAAACACTTGTAGACATGTATTAGGGCTCAAGTGAATCAGTTTAACACTTGTTTAACTATAATTCAAACTTTCAAAATATGTATATTACACTTGACATTGACATGACAAACGATAAATAAAATGAAGACATGTTATTTTGAGTTTTTTTTTTAAAATAATGGATATCAATCCCTTAATCCTTAATTAAGTCTATTGTATGAGTTTGAATCAATCAAATCAAATTTACGAATTCTGAATATCAAATGATTTAACCCTTCAAAATACAATAAAAAGGGACTTCATTTTCTAAAAATTCAGGATCTTTATTATCCAAGCAACTCTTTCCTATTAAATAAAAGGGACCTTTAATTTACTTGTGCTATACAAGTTTATCACAGAGAATTATTATTATTATATATTGTTAATTAGCTGTACTGACAAGTATACAAATAAAGAATCTGTAACAAGCTCTTCATTTCAATTCATACTATACCTTACTAGATATGTAAACAGATCTGATAGTAACAGTTTTCATTGGAAACCAACCAATAAACAATTAATGCCCTATTATTCACAAAAAAAAACATAATTACAAAATGAATCAAGAGTATATAATACATTTTAATAAATAATTACTGATTTTAGCAATATTTTATATTTATTATCATTTATAGCAATACTATATTAAATCTGCAATATGTATTAAAAGTGAATTATGTATGTAATATTTATAATTGTTTTTAAATGTATTATGCTTGTTTGGTAAGAAATTGACACATTATATTAAAATGTGTAAAAAAAATATATTATCCATCAATAAAATTTGTATTATATGTGATTTATAAATTGTTCTCTAACAAGTGGAAAAAAAATTATTACTATAAATGATAAATATTTTCTTCATTATGTTATATTTACGTATGTTTCCCTATATAATGCTTAGATTTGGTAGGTAAATTCTGAAAAAAAGTAACCTCTATTATTTATTTTTCCCCTTAAGCTACCTACCAAATAGAGAATAATACCCAGAAAACATATGATATAACCCAATGGATAATACTCATGAAAAGCCATATATATCATCAGCCGGTTTCATATGGAGATTAAATTATTTCAAGATTATTCTATTTGAAAGGTGAGATAAAATAATCTCAAGTTTTATATTAGATAAGATGGGATATCTAAGATTACTAATTTGATTAATAATATAAATTTATCGTAAAATATCTCATCTTATCACATGTATCTATATTACCGAAAAAGACAAGTCACATATTTAGTTAATTACATATAAATATTTTTAATCCACGCCTTTAACTAAGTATACAAAGTTAAATTTGTACTTATTAGTAATGATGTCAATAAAAAGGAGGACTCAACGGTCTCCTTCGACATCTTTTTAGAGTAATATATAGGAGTACAAGCTAGTGTTATATATGGGCAAATAAAAAAAAGTGCATTCAATAATGGAGTGATATATATATATATATATATATATATATATATATATATATATATATCTTTAGAAAGTTCAGTCAAAAAAGTTGTGGGGATTTCTAATATCTAGAGCTTAAAAAGGATCGTGCAATGAAAAGGAAAGGAATTCAAATTTTAACCAAAAGAACTTTTTTGGCATAGATGCAACAAAATCCTAGAAAACGACTGTCCAAAGAATAGACAATAAACCTTAGGTCAAGATTCTTTTAAAATATCGATTTGCGAACGTAATATTTTTTTCATTTCAATTTATTTATTGATATTCATTTTTTTTATATTTTTTAAATATTTTGAATTGTTGATTATCGTGACTTATCACTTTTAATGTACTAGTTTTTAAATATGTAAAATTTGAAATCCGAATAAAAACACATAAATTGAGTAAGAAGAGTATATCATCACTATTTAAAAAATAGGAATATACGTTGGTCGCCTTAGACAACAAAGTTTGTGGCACATTCTTTTTAGCGACCGATTATTATCAAATAATTTTATTAGATGTGAATTTATGTTATGTATTATTTTTTAAAAATTCAATATAAATATAATAGTATTTTTTATATTCTAATTTATGTGATATATCTGTCTTAAAAATACTGTCATCTTTTTATTATTGAAAATAGGGTCCCTTGCAAATATATAATTAAACTTAAAAATTATGTTCTTATTCATAATGATATGATTTATAGTCAGATAAATGATTAAATAACGTTTTAAATCATAAATTTTAAAAGTCATTTTCTTTTTTTTTAAATTTTATGTCAAGTCAAATGGTATCACGTAAATTGAGATGAAGGGAATGATATTTTAGGGAGTCGATGAAGCAATAAGAGATATAAGTTTCTGACCAACAAGAATTGTGGTGGAGTGATAAATACTCATTTTGGGTTCGAGTCCACTTGGTACAAAGTCACCTTTGTTAAATAGTGTTTTACCCTTCGATATGAAACTTTCCAATGTAAATTTAAATTTAGTCAAATTCCAATATAAATACAATATGCGGATAAAAAAAAAGAGAAAGAAAAGAGATATATGTTGGTGGGCTAATTAGACAGAGCAGTTTCTGATGTACAAGTACAGCTAGCTAATAGAGTTCCTCAAAAGACTTTTTTTCTGCTGCTAAAATTCGTCATCCTAATGCCAGTCATAACAGGTTACTTTCAACATTTCATTTATATGCACTGATCATACTTTTTCAGAAATATTATTTAATGCAATTTTATCTCTAATATTTTTTATATACTATATTATAATCTATAATCTATACCTACACCTATTTATATATATATTTATTTATTGATCACGGGTTCCATTTGACCAAACTATATAATACTCATTATCTTACAAAATCATTATATTATCTCTAATACAAACATACTTGATTACGCCTGACCAATTACTCAAAACCCCATTATTAATTTCATAATAATGTACCTTAGCTTAATTCACAACTCAAGGGCCGAGTTACAATATTCGATATCGATTTAGATAAATTTAATAAATTTTAAATTCTGAATTCATCTGTGTAATATAAATACTAGTAATTCATGTCATGTTATATACAACTTATTATACAATTTTATGGAGTAGCTATAATTATTATTATTATATCGATAATATATTAAATTCTAAAAATATCATATGGACAATGGAAGACCACACCAGACAGGGAAAACGAGGATTAGATATTACTAGCGCGATTCAAGGTATGTGTACCTGAAAAAGATTTGAGAGTGCTTGAGCAGCAGCAAGACGATTAATGGAACTAGAAGCATTAATAGCCATTTGTGTAGCCAATGCCTCCAAGAATGGCTCTGGCCAAACACCATTATTTCCTCCACCTCTACGTCGACGTCTCCGTCCTCCTCCTCCTCCTCCTCCTCCAACTTCTTCTGAAGATGACATGATGAGATCGAGTAGTATGATCAAAATTATATTTTGATACTAGGCCTCTTATTATAATTTGGAAATAAAAGTCAAACTGGTACACGAGGTTCTACTCCTGAACCCTATAGTAATCAATTGAGATTATAAAAAGTCGCAAAGAAGAATTTGAAGGGAGGACATGGTTCGGACCACATTCACAAGAAGATGAGAAGAGAACAATGTTGTATTGATTTATTCCACTCTACATGAACCTTTTCAGGTGGTTTTTGACATGTCCTTTATTTATCCAATGACTTGATTCGCAGTTCGATAAAAAATAAGTTATTTATATACGATATTTGGTAGGTAAATAAAAAATAAATTATTCATGTATAAATTAGTATGATGTTTGGTTGACAAATTTAAAAACCCACATAATCAATACATGTAGTATAAGTTACGATATAATCTATATATTACTCCTTTGTTTTAAGAAAAAATGTTTTATTTTCCTTTTTAGTCTGTTTAAAAAAGAATGACCCCTTACAATATTTTAATACCAGTATTCGACGTGACATGTTTAGGACCGTAACATTTGACATAACTTTAATTTATGACGATAAGATTGAATTTTTTATTTTATTTTCTTAAACTTTATGTCAAATCAAACTAGTTCATTTTTTTTTAAACGGATGAAACATTATTTTATGTCAAAACATGTATAACTAATTAATACTCCATTTGTCTCAATTTATGTGACTTACTTTTCTTTTTAGTCAGTTCCGAAAAGAATGACACATTTCTGTATTAAGTAACAATTTGACTATAAAATATTTATTTTACCTTTAATAAAATAATTTACAGTCACACAAATTTCTATCATTCATTTTGAACCACAAGTTTTAAAAGTCTTCATTTCTTTCTTAAACTCCGTATCGAGTCAAACTACCTCACATAAAATGGGACAGAAAGAGTACATAAATTCTCTTATAACTAATTCATATATTATTAATACCTATAGAACTCTTACTGGCTACCAATCGACATAACTTGGTCTTCATTTTTTTTCCTTTTTGAAAAATGGAATACCTTTAATTAGTTTTGCTTCAAATCGATTCTGTACTTTCTTTATTTGCTCTTCAAGTGTTGTGTACTTGTTATTTGACATGTTTGGAATTGCAAGTGGGACAACTCTTTTTTCTTTACATGTTGTACCATTGGAAAGAAAAAGTTTGGAATTGCAAGTGGGACAACTCTTTTTTCTTTACATGTTGTACCATTGGAAAAAAACCATTTTCTTTCGGTTCTTTTTCCTCTATTTTATTGCTTACCAACCGTGTATACTCACAAAAAAAGGCCCGATTGAACCTACGATATAAAAGTATAATATAAAATTAGATTAATTTATAGTTAAAGTTTTATTTAGATATATATAGAAATATTATTAATTCATGATTTGTTATGTTTAATTAGTTATACATCCTATATATAATGTTGAATACGATGTATATCAAATATACATAGACTGAATTGTCTCTTGTGAAGGAAAACTAGTATAGCTTATATCATGTTTACTACTTTCTTTGTCTCAATTTGTTTGGTTGGTTTTTGACTTGGAATGATGTTTAAGAAAACAAAGAAGACTTTTAAATTTTGTAGACATAAATTAAAAATATGTTGAATGTACTAAAATATCTTTTAATTTTGTAATCTTAAATGTGTCACGTAGAAAATTAGAATTAAAGTGTTGACAAAAAAAATCATTCTTTTAAAAAAATAGAATAAAAAATAAAGTATGACAAACAAATAGAAATGCAAGGAGTAGCTTTTTAGTTGCTTTGTATAAAATTCAAATACCCATTAGATAAGTTATACAATCAAAACTCATTATAACATGTCACTCGTTATAATAATATTTCTCTCCGATAACTTGATTTTCTCCAAAATCAATTTTTCATGTTATATTTTTTTTATTTTTCAATAACAACATTCTACCAACATATAATGTCAGTGACATCCATTATAACAATACTTTTTTTTAAGACAATTGCCTTTCTATAACATTATATTCATACTCAGATATTGTGTAATACTTTATGATAATCATTAATATCATGCATATTGCAAACATGAAATTTACAAACAAACATTATCACTATAACGAAGTTGTAAAAGGTAATATGTAAATAATTATTCATATTGCATAACTCTAACAAATAACCAAATGATCCGTAAGGAACATAGTGAGATGGATCATTACATCTTTGATCTCTCCATCCTTGATCAGAAGTTTGAAATAGGAGTTTTAAAATTGAAAATATTATTGATTGAGAACACTTCCTCTTTAAATAAGTTTTACACAAAGTGTAAATTGAAGTTAATCGGATTATTAGGTTTAAGACACCACATGAATATTCAAAAAAACAAGTGATTAATGTGAAGCATGCTCCCTTTCTACTGTGATGAGCAAATGACCTAAGAAATTAAAATTGATTATCTCCTTACATGATTTAAAATAAGGAAAGATGTAAAAAGTTTGAAACAGACAAAATTAGCATGTTTGGTGGAAATTTAATCATATAATTTAGCTAGCTATTATAGGTAGTTAGATTCACAATTTGGAGTGAACTAAAATACAAAATAAGTTCATCATTTCTTATGCTGAATTTAGTCCAATTTACTCAATTTTGAGTTAAGAAGGCTGATCATCTTAAAGTTCAAATTGTCTTATTGCACACTATCTTGAAGTTGAATATTTCCTTCCTATTGAATTAAAATTCAAAATATTAATAATTAAATTCAACTTGAAGTTGAAATTTGAACTCGATTTTCATGAATTTGAAAAATATAAAAAAAGTTGGTTTCGTGTCTCTTCACTCCAAATTCTCACAAAAAATCAACAAAACAACTTATAAGTAGAGCCATCAAAATGGGTTTAGCCCATGGGGCCGGCACAACCCAACCCTTTATTGGGGTAGGGTTGAGATATGATTTTTCAAGCCCATTTAATACTAGGGCTTATAAGCCCAACCCATATAGGCCCTTGACCCTTGAGGCCTGATTGAGACTGGGTCGGGGTTGCCCCATGGGCCAAACTATTTATTTAAGGGTAACTTATAACGATCTCCTAGTATATGAGCTAATTACTTAAATGCATTACATGTTGTAATATTACAAATCTTACCAGATTTTGCTACATCTAGATACATGTATCTCGGGATACATGGACTCAAAATTAGGTTAATTTGTTGTACATACACTATCTAAGTGAATTCACATGTATCTAGGAAACATAGACAAATCTCGCACCCTGGCCTCCCTCTCGTCTTGCTCGCCACTCTCTTATCTCGCTCGTATATTTGGGATGCATCACACTAGATACATGTATCACGGGATACATGGACTCAAAATTAGGTTAATTTGTTCTACATACACTATCCAAGTGGATTCATATGTATCTAGGAAACATAGACAAATCTTGGACCCTCGCCTCCCTCTCGTCTCGCTTGTCACTCTCTTATCTCGCTCGCATATTTGGGATGCATCACATAGATACATGTATTTCGCGTATCTAGTATCATAGATACATGTTAATCACACTAGATTTTTTGCTAGTGTTAGTGAAAAAACACCATTGTTTGCCATATTTGATTTGAAAATCTTCTCATTTTCTTGATGTTCTAGAATTTTAAGTTTGAAAGAAAAAAAATGAAAAAACAAAAAAAAGAAGGGCTAGCCCGCCCCAGCCCTCGGCCTTTCTAGGGTTGGGTGGGGTTGAGCATTTTCAGTCCCTCACAAATGAAGGGTCAGCCCGCCCTAGCCCATCAAATTCTTTGGCCAGCAAGGCTTGGGTCAGATGGGATAGGCCGACCCTTTTTGACATCTCAACTTATAAGTATGGCCGGATACAACTCTAATTTTTAATTATTATTTTTCACTTTTAAAACATTATTTTTCAAATACTTACAATTTTCGTGACCGAAAATCCACTACATACGTTGGGCCCGTGCTAGCACGAGCAGACCAAATCTAGTGTATATATATATTTCTCACTTTTTAATTACTTTCGTAGATACTTTTTTTTATAAGCTACCTTGTCATAAATCAAATTAAGTACAAAGTCAACATTTAGTTACAGTTTAATGATTGCAATTTTACTTTTGACTTGATAAAAGTAAAATAAATAAATTAGATTTTGATTAATTACATGAAGATAAAATTTGTGAAGTTCGAGCGTCAGTAACTTTAAATGCAATTATCCATTTTTTTGTTCTCATGTTTCGTATCCAATATTTGGCCCATTCGAGGGAAGTTCTCTCTATCATGATATGAAAAAATCGTTGATAGAGAGTGCTTACACGAATGGGCTCCACACGATGCAAAGTCGAATTCATCAGACTTCAATATGATTATTGGATACCTAATAAAAAAAATGAATAATTGCTTTTATTGGCCCTCAAACTTCATGAAATTTATTGAGACACACTATTTCTTACTAGAATGCTTAACGGTGGAATTTTTTCAATATCAAATTCTATTTTTGCAATTAACCTGAATTAGGTTGTGGCACCTAATTATAAGCTTAAGACATTTCTCTATAATGTAGCAATGACAAACTCTCTACTTTGAATCAGATCATCTAATTTTGTAAGCATATAGCTCAATAAAATGTTTTCATTACTAAAATGAATAGAAAAAAATGCCCTCCCTCCTCCCAATCTATATTCAGATTTTCAACTATACACCTTAACTTCACGAGAGTCCTATCACCCCCGAAGTGTTTAAAATTGAAATTATTACCTCCCTGAATGCTTACCTTGCAAAGTGAGGGTATTTCAAATATATTTTTTCCTTATTTATCGCCTTTCTCCTCCATAACAATAATGACCAAATTCCTCCACCATTCACCATCTCTAAGTCGTCTTAGTCACCACCATCTTCATTGGATTCACCATTCTTGATTTCAAAACAAACTTTTAAATTCTCATGTAAAAAAAATTTAGAAATCAATTAAAGATAAAAATGTTATGTATATCACC